CTATATGAAAATATGTCGGAGAAACCTGTATTAGGGTAAATTTAAACGAAATTGCTGCCTGCCTACGCTGGCGTTAGGCGTGACTGGCGTAGCTTGACTTTGGAGCAGTAGAATCTATGAAATTTTAAATTACTATGCAGCGTTTTTTAAGACAGCTCAAGACTTATTAGTTATTACGCAATGGGAATTAATTATTAGTCAGCTCTCAAGAGTTCCAGTAAACCAAATAGAAGAAGAACCTGTCTTTTAATCAACTTCCCAAAGGATTGAGTGAGGTGAGTTGTAGGCCTACTTCCGTCAGTGTTGACTCCGTTCCTTATTAGTTCTTTAACAACCCACTTCTTTAGAGTTACTTGGGTATTAATACATTTTCATCCAATAGGGTTCTTGAGTTGACCCATATATCGTTTTTTATTCTATTGCAACAAGTAAAAGTACTGTATAGGGTTCAGAAGATAGCTGTTGACGACTAACCCGCGGACCAGTTATTTGTTTTACTATTTATTATCTTACTTTTTATTTGCATCAGTAAGTTTTGATATGATAATAATTTATTGTACAAATACTTCGTTTTGTAGATAATTAGGCGCCTAGGCGGTTACTAGTTTGTCTTCCCGGCGGTAATGAGACCGCGCGGCAAGGAGAGCAGTTGTCTTACATGGATGTAATTGCGAATTTAGGGATAAATACAACGAGACCCTTCAGTTTGTCAAAGACCACGACATCGTTCCTTCAAATAGAAAATATTTTTCACAGCAATACTGTGAAACAGAACTGGGTTTGTGTGCCAAGTCGGTTTTTAATTGGAGATCACTTCCTCAGTGCCATGGCTCGCTGTTTCCCGCCCTCCACACTACAACTCACTCCGCCGCCCGGGTTACCTAGCCTCTGATGCTGCCTCACGCCTCCTGCCTCACGCCGGCTGCCTCACGCCTCCTGCCTCACGCCGGCTGCCTCACGCCTCCTGCCTCACGCCTCCTGACTCACGTCCAGAGAAAACTGTTGGTGCCTCAAGTGTGGACATAAAAGGAACAGTTGCTTTAATTATTGCAGTGTTGGAGTTTGAGCATTACTGTCAGTTAGAATTGTTGGTGAGTCATAACTGATTAATAACTTTCAGAAAATATCGGGGACGAAAGTCACTGGTAGGTGAAATATGCCTGAGATAGTGGTTAATGACCTTAATCTTCGATAGCAGTAGTGTTAAAGAAGTACTGTATTGTCATGTTATATTTATAACAAGATGTGATTCAATGAGCATACTGTAGTAAATCCTTCTTTATGTTGTTGCAGGTGAAAACTTAGTGCAAGACAAGTGATACAAGTGATGAAGACACACAGAGAGACAGAAGCATCTATGGTAAGTACAAAACATATTTTGTAATAGTTGTACGATTGTCCAATGAAATGATGTCACGATTTCCAGAAACTTCACATCAGAAGGTGATATCTGACAGCAACCAAACTCGTTTTGTTTTCATTTTTATTTTTTCGAGGTGGAACAATTTTGTGAAATAGTAGCTGAAATTAATTAATATATGCTAAACCAGTTTTTCATAAGATTATTGTAAGAACAAATCATGTGGTTAAAATGTTAGTATATTGTATTTTGAAACAAAATAATATGGTTTACGAGATTATCGTTCAGGTACATTCAGGAGTAATTTGCGGGAATAGATTCGGATGTCAAATGAAAAGGTATAATTCATATTGTTAGGATAAAATTAATATTTAATAAAGAAAAAGTATGAATTGAGATAATATTCTTACACATTCATATCATGTCTTTAATAAGCTTGTTAACAAATATTTTCCATATTCACCACCTGTGTCGATGATGTAAGGTGAACAACATTCTCAAAACAAAATTTTGAGCTTTCCCTTTTATACCTTTTCCCTTAGTAATTATAAGAAAATTAATTATGTTGTCATTTATACTTGGAAGGGATTGTATCATTTATCACCCATATAAAATATAAAACATTAAAGACCCCCGTTCAACGTTCATTCATTACAGATGAAAAGGTAAAACTTGGTGAAATTGCTAACTTCTATGAAACCTTATTCAACTAATAATTATTTTAATAGTAACAAAAGCTTTCATAGTGTTCTAAAAGATAAAACAACTTCTAAGAAAGAAAATCGGCCATATGCAGAATATTCTACACTAGCATTAACAGTTATCAGTTTGTGTTCCTGTATCATCTTGGACTTGCTGTGTGTTTATTTTATGCTGCACCATCTTCGTCTTTCAAGCATGGGTTTGTGATATAGTTCTTTTACCTTTGCTTCCCATATTGAAACCTTTACCTGCAAAAATATGAAGTTATGCCAGAAAAAATTTAAATTGCGAGAAAGTTGTCTGATGAGTTTGTTAATACAGTACCAACTTACTACAGCGGCGTCCAACCAACTGATCAGTCACTCGCTCGACTCGTTCCACACTGCCAGGTACCTCTGTTTAAACGAATCATACTGAAAACTGTGACATCACTTCGTTGGACGAGTGTACCTGGCTGGGTTATACAGCTTTAAATATGCACATCCACATTTTATGATTTGACACGAGTTGAAAATTAAAAAAAAACACTAAACCATATTTAAAATTACTTTGAAATGGACATGAAATTAATGATAATTAGGATGCGAGTTAAATTTGTCATTCACAATATTATAAACTAGGGATGATATTTGAACCCTGAGCCTTGCTTTGCTAGGAGCATACTTTATCTTTTATTTTTTTAATGCATGTAATTTATTAACAATGTGCCGTTCAGTACTGGGAACCTTGCGGTGATAACGTCAGGTACTGAGGTAAATCAAGGCTTGTATTATTGTTAGTTTTAGCAGTTAGGTTAAATTAGGTCACAGTATATAAGCTTAATTGAAAGTGTAAATAACACTTAGAATGTCATTTGTAGTGTAGAAGTACTGTAGTGTTTGTTTTTCAGATGAAGGTAAGGTTCATGTATTTAGTATAATAATAGACTGGGTTTTTTTAGGTGTAGATGAAGTACAGTACATACTGTATGTATTCATTGTTGTTCACCACATAATATGCAAAGTTTATTTAAGATAAAGTTAAAAATCTTTATTCATTTTATTATCTTTTCAATACAACACAAATGAAAAGTTTTTTATTCAGGTGCAGATAAAATACAAATGTACAGTACTTTATTTCACTACAACACATGTACACTTTATTTTCAGATGTAGATAATGTACAGTAGCTAAAAAAAAGTAGCTGACAGGGTGGATGACTTCCGAAATTATATGTACTACAACTCGTGATGTCTCGGTAGGGTTTGTATGCGTTCCTTCACCCACGGTCATTCAGTGTCCAACACTGGGAGGACTTGGCATATATAAATAAAATAAACGGTTAAGTGATTACTATCATATAGTATAAGGAGACAACGTGCATATCCCAAAAACTATCGTCCATCAGGGGTGTGGTTTCTCCATTTTGTCTGGGTTTTTCCATCGTATTAGGCAACCCACGTGAATCGCATGGATACATTGAGATTTTTTTTTTGGGTGGTGGGGGGGGGGGTGGTGGCTCAAGGGTCGATGGGTCTGCCATAAAGACGATGCGCCAGTATACTGCATATAGTGGCCGCACTCTACACATTACATCATATACTCTACTTCTCATTGGACAAGTATTGCTTGTTTTGCATTCCATAGACCAAAGATCAATGACGTCATACAACGCCACTATTAGAAGCATTATAAGAGACCCCTCCACCCTAGGTACTTGATCCACCCTACTGGAGGAGCTAAGCATTTTTCAACGTAACTATGTTTCTATATCATTTTACACTTTCTGATGATCACAATTTATAGGCAACTCAGTAGGGCATGTTTGTTTACCCCAGGAGGTCAGGGTTATAGGCCATCTGTGTGTGTGTGTCCCCCATGAGGTCAGGGCGTAGGGCATGTGTGTGTGTGTCCCCCATGAGGTCACGGCGTAGGGCATGTGTGTGTGTGTATGTGTCTCCCACGAGGTCAGGGCGTAGGGCATGTGTGTGTGTATGTGTCTCCCATGAGGTCAGGGCGTAGGGCATGTGTGTGTGTGTGTGTCCCCGTGAGGTCAGGGCGTAGGGCATGTGTGTGTGTGTGTCTCCCATGAGGTCAGGGCGTGGGGCGTAGGACATGTGTGTATGTGTCCCCCATGAGGTCAGGGCGTAGGGCATGTGTGTGTCCCGACAGTATATATGCATGAAAAATATTGTTGCAATAAACATACGTACATATTTAATTTTGGGTACTGTGTATTTTACCTGTTAGGCGCTCACGAAATGAGTAACATTGTGAGAAATTAAGTTAAATATGGTAAAAACTTCCTGGGTAGATGGTTCCCGGACCCCCCCCCTGCTCTTTTTGTCTTTTCAAGACCAGTCACGTCCCTAGTCTCATATTGTTTCACACACAGTATGCACAGATACTTTGTTTTAGCTACTGTACATATGTAATTTTTATCTTATATATATATATATATATATATATATATATATATATATATATATATATATATATATATATATATATATATATTATTTTTTTTTAATGAAGGTAAGGGTGATGTATTTATTTCAGTCCAACAGAAAAGTCAAGTTGTTTCCAGGAACAAGGTGAGTGTCTGTGCTGTACACATAATTGTTTCGGTGCAACATAATACATGTTTTTTACAACTGGATAAAGTCTTAAGTAAGAAAATATACAGAGAATCCGAGTAGGAGTTCTTTTGGTGTATAGTACAATTAGGATTCACTTTCTGTACAAAAAAAGAATCCCCCCCCCTCCGTCTTTCCCAAGAATTTTTTTATCCTTTAATAATTTTCAAGGTTAGAATTAGTACAAAAAAGTCTGAAACAGGTTTTTTTTCTTTTTTAATTAAGCCCAAAAGGGTGATTTAAAGTCACTGTGTGAGATGTGTGATGAATGGGCGTCACATATACAGCATCTATTGTAAACAAATCAGAAAGGGCAAAGCTCACCATCAAGTGGTGTAGTGACATGGTGAGCTAGTATTGTAGTGAACTGTTGCTGTGGTGAGCTGTTGCTGTGGTGAGCTGGTATTGTAGTGAGCTGTTGCTGTGGTGAGCTGGTATTGTAGTGAGCTGTTGCTGTGGTGAGCTGTTGCTGTGGTGAGCTGGTATTGTAGTGAGCTGTTGCTGTGGTGAGCTGTTGCTGTGGTGAGCTGGTATTGTAGTGAGCTGTTGCTGTGGTGAGCTGGTATTGTAGTGAGCTGTTGCTGTGGTGAGCTGGTATTGTAGTGAGCTGTTGCTGTGGTGAGCTGGTATTGGTGAGCTGTTGCTGTGGTGAGCTGTTGCTGTGGTGAGCTGTTGCTGTGGTGAGCTGGTATTGTAGTGAGCTGTTTGGTGAGCTGTTGCTGTGGTGAGCTGTTGCTGTGGGTGAGCTGTTGCTGTGGTGAGCTGGTATTGTAGTGAGCTGTTGCTGTGGTGAGCTGGTATTGTAGTGAGCTGTTGCTGTGGTGAGCTGGTATTGTAGTGAGCTGTTGCTGTAGTGAGCTGTTGCTGTGGTGAGCTGGTATTGTAGTGAGCTGTTGCTGTGGTGAGCTGGTATTGTAGTGAGCTGTTGCTGTGGTGAGCTGTTGCTGTGGTGAGCTGGTATTGTAGTGAGCTGTTGCTGTGGTGAGCTGGTATTGTAGTGAGCTGTTGCTGTGGTGAGCTGGTATTGTAGTGAGCTGTTGCTGTAGTGAGCTGTTGCTGTAGTGAGCTGGTATTGTAGTGAGCTGTTGCTGTGGTGAGCTGGTATTGTAGTGAGCTGTTGCTGTAGTGAGCTGTTGAATTGAATTGAAACAATTTATTTAGCCAGAAAAACACAGATACAGAGTGGATAATAATAACAATATTAACATGGCTGAGCCAGTTGAGAGCCTGAGCTCTCTTTGAGGCACCTGATATATACTATACATTTATCTCAAGGAAGTATTATGTAACATTTAGTATCATCTGGAATAGTACAATAGCATGGTAGTAATAAGAACATCTCATAATGTTACCACGGTTATCTGTTGGTGCAGTGATCTGGTGGTGTGGTGATCTGGTGGTGTGGTGATCTGTTGGTTTAGTGAACTGGTGGTATGGTGATATGAAAGTGTGGTGATCTGGTGGTGTATTTATCTAATTAACAGCAGACAATACTGGCCCCAGTAGAGCATTGTAAAGGCTAGTACCATTGAACCTATGTTAGGCTACATTTGGTTAGGTTAGGTTAGATTAAAGTAGGTTAGGTTAAGTTAGGTAAGATTAGATTTGGGTTGGTTAAGTTACAACTTAGGTAGGTTAGGTTAAGTCAGGATAGTGTTAGGTTAAGTCAGGATAGTGTAAGCTTAGTTAGGTTAAATCAGGATAGTGTAAGCTTAGTTAGGTTAGGTTAAGTCAGGATAGTGTAAGCTTAGTTAGGTTAGGTTAAGTCAGGTTAGTGTAAGCTTAGTTAGGTTAGCTTAAGTCAGGATAGTGTAAGCTTAGTTAGATTAGCTTAAGTCAGGATAGTGTAAGCTTAGTTAGGTTAGCTTAAGTCAGGATAGTGTAAGCTTAGTTAGGTTAGCTTAAGTATTCCCTTATCATTACTGTTATTGAGAGGGACGGATAATTCAGAGTTCGGATAATTGGGAATTTGTATAATTGGCACGTCGGATACATTAGAGAAGCTTTTTAAGTTCAGGTAAAAGGAGAATTCGGTCCATTGACTGTTTATTTAATTGACAGGTCGGCGATAACTGACAGGTCCGATAATAATTGAGAGTTCTGATGATTGATGCAATGTTTATTCTCAACCAAAGCAACAAAAGGAATATTACTGACTACTAAGGCGCTTTGTATATGGTGAACAGCGAAGGTGAGGGAAGGTATGGTGGTTATGGTGGGTGAGGGAGAGTATGGTGGGTGAGGGAGAATATGGTGGTTATGGTGGGTGAGGGAGAGTATGGTGGGTGAGGGAGAATATGGTGGTTATGGTGGGTGAGGGAGAGTATGGTGGTTATGGTGGGTGAGGGAGAGTATGGTGGTTATGGTGGGTGAGGGAGAGTATGGTGGTTATGGTGAGTTGGGGAGAATATCAGTGGTGCTTCGTGATGGTATAAAGCCACATTGAAATTCTGGGAGGATGTTTTCCGCCTCTGGAAGAAGTCTTTTTAGGAGGACTCGGGCGATAATCTTGTTAGCTACGGATAGCAGCGAGATCCTGCGGTAGTTGCTACAGTCTGACCGGTCTACCTTTGTCTTAACAATAATGACGATGGAGGCGTCTTTAAGAGGTTGGGGGATTTCCTCCTTTTCCCATATATTCTCCAGGATGAGTGGAGACGGCTGGTAAGCAGAGGTTCTCCTGCTTTATACACCTCGGCTGGGATTCCATCAGGCCCTGCGGCTTTGTTATTTTTCATCTGTTTGATTGCAGTAGCTACCTCATCCAGGGATGGAGGATAGCTAAGGTGGGTCAGCTCTGGGTACTGAAGGACCTGCTGGGTAGTCAGAACTTCCACATCGGTGTTTCAGTATTGGGATTTGGATTGTTTGTTGTCAGGTTGTTTATCAGCCCATGTTCTAGTTGCTCTCTGAAACCATGGGCTACTGCTGGATCCTCCAGACGCTTAATGTTAAAACCTCTTCTGGAGTCTTATTGCCTTCGTCGTTTTGGGGCGACGAAGTGAGAGTTTGGCTCTGACGAGCCGATGATCAGTGTCTCAGTGGTCTGAGCCATACATGGCTGTGGTGATGCGGACATCTCGGTGATCTCTTTCTCTGACAATGATGTCACTTAGATGCCGATGTTTAGATTAAGGGTGTTGACAAGAACCCTTGAATTTGTTGGTTTGCCTAAATAAAGTATTGGCGGTAGTGAGGTTGTGTTCATCACAGTTGCTGAGGGGGAGTAGGCCATTGGGATTACATTTGCCTACTCTGTTTCTTTCTATGGCTCCCTGCCATATATCAGCATCTCTGCCAACTCTGGCATTGAAGTCACCTAGGAACACAGCCTTATCTTCTCTGGGGATACAGGTTGGCACTCTCAAGGTCGGCATAAAAGACCTCCTTGATGTCATTGTATGCATCCAGTGTTGGGGCATATGCACTGATGACGAAGGCATGATGTGAGTGATTCAGTAGGACTCGGAGCGTCATGAGGTGCTCATTGATCCCAACAGGCATTTCAGTTTCCCTATATAAGATGGAGTGGCAAATGGCAGAGCCAACTCCGTAAATGTAGTTCCTCTTCGCAGCAGGCTTATCCTTCCAGAAGAAAGTATACCCGAACCCTCGTTATGCTAGTCAACCCTCGTCTGGGTGCCGGGACTCACTAATTGCTGTGATGTCGATGTTATACCTAGACAGCTCTTTTACCACAAGGGCAGTTTTTCTTTCTGGAAGCTCATTTGTGTCAGGATCTAGAAGGGTCCTGACATTCCATGCAGTGATTATAAGAGGTTGTATACAGTAGTTTGTTTTTGTTTTGAACTGTAATTATGATTGTGTTTTCGACCGTATAAGGATGACCTTTCTGGGTGCGGTTGCTCAGTCAGGTTTGTTCTTTAGGCAGGCTATGTTTAGGGCACCTTTTCAAACCCCCTCCTTATGTGGGGTGAGCAGAGTGCCCCCTCGAAAGGGCTGCTCAGTCTCACAAACGAGACCCGAATTGCACTGCTGCTTAGATCCCGGTGCATAAACGACCATCTTATCTGTGCTGCCCATGTGCAGACTTGTGATTGAGATTCCCAATAGTCATCTCTGCCTGTCCCCGTCGTGATGAAAGTATGATGAGCTGCATTATGGCTGTGCGTGAGTTGATTTATATGGTGAGGCAATAGAGCAGGCTGCAACCACACATCTTGGCTCTCCCTTTTCCTGATCCAGTGATGCAAGTGTTGCAACGACTAGGGAGAGGGAGAGTTGCAGTGGACTGCCGATAGCCCAGTTTGTTGGGTTTCAACTTAGTAGCCTGTCCATCATGCATTGCCTTCATCCGCCGGTGTAATCGTTGGGTTCTCATGTTGGTCACCTATTCCACCGTTGGAGTCTTACTGGAGCTCTTTAAGCTGGTCTAGCTTGGGCCCACGAGGCACCTAGTTACCGTGTGTTGACACGAGGAGACACAGCAGGAGTCTTGATGGTGAAGAGGCTGTGTACTGGCAGGGGAAGACTTATGCAAGTTGCTTCCCTGTTCGCCACGAGGGTGAGCCAGCGGCGGTATCTGAAAGCGAGAAGAAACAAGCAGTGCTTGCACCTAAACACTATAACATTATGCTGTCACACTGCCGTATCACGCAATCCTTTGTGTACACGCGCGTGTCGTAAGGCATTGCAGAGTTGATTGTTCGTGACTAGACATTTATGCTGTACACCAGGGATGACCAGCCTGTCGATCGCAATCGACTGGTCGATCGCAAGATCTTCTCTAGTCGATCGCATGGCAAAGTTGAACTTAATGATCCATCCTTCTTACGCTGCCATACAAAAATCCTCTTCAAATTTGACTCTTAACACTGGCCAACAGCCAAAATGGTTCACATATGAGATCATGCTCACACAACTATTTTCATATTGCTGAATTCGAATCTGATATTTGTTTTGTTCTATCAGACCAGGTTTTATAAAAAAATCAATAGGTACAAATATTTAATATTCCATCACGTGTCGTGCAAAAGATGAGATTATCTCATGTGACTGTGCTTTCATGACTAATTTCATATTCATGAATATTAATTGGATGCTTCATTCTACCATCAGACCTACTTTCTTAAAAAATAAAAAAAATAGTAAATATAGTAACATTATCGCGTCATGCAAGATACAATTTTAAACCTATCACAGATAAGCTCATAAAAAATTGTACCAAAAAACATAAGTTCAAATCCTTTATAATGACAAAATATGAAGTTCTAAAAGTGCTTCTGAACTTTACTCTTTCTCTTGTACAGCTTGCTCTCTTCTCGTTGCAGTGTCCAGCAATAGTCGCCCATCATGTTAGGACTGAATTGTCCCTGATATCTGCTCTCCATTATGGCGATATCTTGATGAAATCTTTCGCCGTGTTCATCACTAACGTCTCCAAGGTTACCTGGGAAAAATTCAATATGAGAGTGGAAAAAATGCAATTTCAAGGACATCCTTGCTCCCAATGCATGATAATTCTGAAGCATGGTTGTTACGATTTCTTTGTAGTTGTCAGCACGATAGTTTCCAAGAAAATTCTTTGACACATTGACAAATGATTCCCATGCTTTTTTCTCCAGTGGGTTCAATGTTTTGGTGAATTCGCTATCATTAACTAGTATACGAATTTGTGGTCCATTCAAGACACCTGCTTTCAACTTGGCTTCGGAAACCACACCACCTAGTTTCTGAGATAAGTATAGAGTCCCAGCACCGAATTGATCCATAGCTTTGATGAAATTTTTAGCCAAACCGAGCTTTAGATGCAGTGGAGGCAAAAATATCTTTTCTGGATCTACAAGCGGATTGTGAGCACAGTTAAACCTTCCAGGCGCATCTCTTGGTCTTGTCGGCCAATCCTTTCTCACATAGTGCTCTGCATCAGCTCTGCTGTTCCACAAGCACAAAAAGCACATGTGCTTTGTGTAGCCACTCTGAAGGCCCATTGTTTCATAGCTCTCAGTCATTTTTGTTGCGTGTGCTATTGGGACAGATGGAAGCCGATTGCCATTGTGTAAAAGAACAGCTTTCAGAGAGTCTTTTCCTGAGTCTATAAACAGCCTCCAATCCTCTGTCTTGTATGTTTCAGACTTGCAGAATTGTTGCATGAGAGATACTGCGTCCT